TGATAATCGACACTGTTCATGCGCAAGCTCGACCTTGAGGATTCAATTCGTTGGTGATTTTGAGAGGGTATTTGCGAGCGCAAGGATTGAAAGAACAATTATAACGGATTAACAGGGTAAAATTAGCATTGCAAAAACAAAGTAGAGCAATCGGAAAGAGATCTCCATAGATTTGTTTAATTCACTGTTTTTAGTGGGAAATGGGCGAGTACGAATGGATGTCTTATCGTGAGGTCGAGGCAAAAATCTCTAATGTCGCTGCTGGTTTACGAGATATAGCGAATGGCGACGACCACAAGGTTAGAGCTAATTGTTACTAGAAATCTTCCTTTCTTAGTTTTTTGAAACTTTTCTTTGACTCTTTGTTGCTTGGGTCTATTTCTCTTATCTTCGTAACGATGCGGGCGCTTTTTGTTAACATCAATCGTTATGTGAAACTTTTCTGTTCAGGTGGTCATCTTTGCCGAAACGCGTGCTCATTGGTTAATCACAGCTCTAGCGTGTTTCCGCACAAATATACCCATCGTCACAGTATATGCTACCCTCGGTGAAGACGTGAGAATTGGTTGACCTTCTTTTCTTCATTCAAACACTAGATTATGAAATTTAGGAGCATTTATTTTAGGCGATTGCGCATGCAATAGATGAAACTGGATCGACGATTTTGGTGACATCAGCAGAACTGCTGGGAAAAATCAATAATCTCGGAAAACGTTGTCACTCTTTACGCACGTTGATCTACTTCCCACCAGTGAACAAAGAGGCACCTGCTCCAGATTTGTCGCCATTCAGGTTCTGAGCGAGAGACCCGATAGCATGTTCCTTTTTTGAAACATTTCAATTTCAGGGAACAGTTCGAACATGTGCTAGCGTATAGTGATCTTGAGTCGAGGGTACCGACTATGATAAGTTAGTTTTATTTTCACCACTTTTCCTTCCATAACGAATAGCGTTTTATAAGCTTAAACAAATGAATTTGTGTGGAAGACATAGATCTGGTACTATATCCAATATACTCTTGCTATATGTTTGAAATGATATGAGCAGTTTTAAAATTATCAATAAATAATCTAAAAATTTAGAATTATCAATAATGATCCAGTCTTGGAGCTGTATTTTT